AGAACAAACCACTGACCACCTGCTGCAATGCACCCTGAGCCTTGCCACATGCACAATGGAGGACCTTCTTGCGGCAACCCCAGAGGCACTCCAAGTGGCCAGATACTGGTCAAAGGACATTTAACCAAATACCAAATTTGCAAAATCTGTGTGGTTTTTTTTTCTTTCTTTCTTTCTTTTTTCTTTTTAATCTCTGTGTTTGTTTTGCTCTGTTAGAATTGTAATACAATGGTTGCTGATGACACGATAAATAAATAAATTTGATTCTTAAAAACCCACTCATCAGGCCCTATATCTTCTAAATCAAAATCAACTGTTTCCTCAAGATTTGTAATCAGATTTTTTTAAACCACCAGAAAAATATCAAGAGGTGTTTGGCCCCTTCTACGTTCCCCTATATCCCAGGATCTGATCCCAGATTATCTTCTTATCCCAGATTATATGGCAGTGGAGACTCACATAATCCGGTTCAAGGCAAATAATCTGGGATCAGACCCTGGGTTATAAGGCAGTGCGGATCCAGCCTTTGAGTCAAATGGAAGAAACAGCTAGATATTCCTCTAGTTTCAGTATTGCCAGAGCTGACAAAGGCCCTAGTCAACAGTCACTATGCCAATTATTCCACTAAATCAAATTGTAATGGATCCAACCTTCTGGCATTTATTCAAATTAAAAATGTAGTCAAAGTTTTAATAACATGTTTTTCTAATAATTGGGTTTCCAGGATAGTCACTATCAATCATGTTTTAAATTAATATAAGTTTTCCTTTATTATAAAAAACCAAAAAGATAATGGGAGCACAGAAAATATCTCCCAGGCAAGGTCAGTCATCTGAAACCTAAAACAAGCAACTTTCAAACTATATATCAAGATTCTCTGTCTGATAAATGAGTTGAACTTAGTTCATTCAAGATGGTCTGCAACCTAAGCACTATGTTCATCTGAAACACATTTTGCTGTGGCGTGGTAGGCATTTCTGTTCTAGGTTGTTAACAAAAACACTAATTCTGCCTTCGAGAGAAAACTGAGCCAAATATGATCATCTATTAAATTCTTTGGAGAATTTATTAATTTTTTTTAAAGCATTTATCTTCCGCCCTTCTCACCCCAAAGGGGACTCAGGGCGGAGTACAACATGTAAACGCCAAACATTCAATGCCGAAACATACTAGAACAATATTACTTATTTCAGATTGCTACGCATCCAAGAATGGAATTTTGTTCTGGTGCTCTCTCAATGTACAATGATCACAATAACATGATTTTCTTGATAACATCGAAATTACTGTTTAGAACCCAAAATGGGTTGATTAAATTTTGATGGCTCAAATCAGATTTATAGCACCGTAATTTGTTGCAGAGGTGAGAACTGTGTTCCAGTGATACCACAACCAAACTACCTCCCTCAAGTCCCCTGCAAGAATGCACAAGGACCTTCCAAAGTTCACTAAATGACTTCGCAAATGTGTCACAGTTCTTCTAGCTACTGGAAAATAGTTGCATGTGTCCCTGATGTTTCTCTCCCCAACTCTTTGAAAACATGGAAATGGCCCTGCTGAAATGGATGTACTGCTTAAAAGATGGTCTCGGGGAGGGGGGGGCAGCATCAAGAGCTGATGCAGGATATCAGACATATGACCATCTTTTCTTACCTTCGTGTATGAACCTATGCAGATGATTTCTGTTATTTGCCTCATAGTCTCTACTAGGAGCCCCCGGTGGCACAATGGGTTAAACCCTTGTACCGGCGGGACCGAAGACTGACAGGTCAGAGGTTCGAATCCAACTCCCTCTGTCAGCTCCAGAAGCCTCCCACAAGGATGGTAAATCATCAAAAACATCCTCTGGGCAACGTCTTGCACAGTCCATTCTCTCATACCAGAAGCAACTTGCAGTCTCTCAAATCACTCCTGACACGGAAAAAAATAGTCCCTACTGGGGCAAGTATTTCAATGTTGCAAAGACACTGGTGCCCTTGCAGTTATCTAATTTCTCACTCATTCCATAGAAATGATAAACATTTCTAATGGCTGATCTAATTAGTATTCGTGATAGAAGCAGAAAACAAAAAGGCACTACTCATAAATTGGAGCTTTTGGGCAGTTACTCTCCCCTTCCTGTATGTATTTGAACACCACATATTATCCTACATTGAAACATTTATCTCTGCATCCCGCTTAAAAACAGTTAACGATTTAATGATTCCAATATGGCATTTAGTCTACTCCTGATCACAAAAAAACTCAAAATAATGATGTCAGACAAACCTCTTTGTTATGCCAATTCTTCAAACTCAAGAAAAAAGGTTCCATTTACTCAAGTGGAGAGAAATCTGATAAGCCAGATACAGATCAGTGGTTATCATTTCCTAATTTCTTTCAGTAATCTTTGCCTAATTTATATTCTGATATAGCCCCCGCCCGCCACTTCCTTTTTACTGCTTCTCCTGTTTAGAAAATCTACACTTACTTTTTTAAAATGAAATTGCTGTAGAAATACACTTCAAAACAGCTTGCAGAATTTTGAACAGATTGTTCATAAAGAAGCAATAAATACAAATCCATTAATTGCGTTAAAGAATCATTAAAGCATTTTAAAAATAACATATATTTGTCCTCTCACACAATATTTTTAAAAAGGAAAAAGGACTGAGAAGAAGCACAGAATATTTTCAAAGTGGATGATGGCTTGACAGTGGCACAAAATGCACTTGAGCACTGTCATTCAATTAGCTGCACTTCAAATCCAATGTTGACATTTGAGAGAGGGGATCGTACTTAATTCCTGCAATCAAGCTGGATTAATGACTAAGGCCCAGTTCAAACTCGATTAGACCCCATGCTGCTCTGGAGCAATTTACCAGGAAGCAATACAGGACTGAGCCATGGCAGCACAACAGCATTTGCATTAGCTTTGCAATATGCATTTGAGTATTATTGATTTAACAACCTAAATAGACTAGTAAATAGTTACTGACCCAGTAGGTTATAATTACTCTGGAGGTCCGGGATATGCAGATTTGTATCTCTAGTTTCTCCTAGAAATGTGTATGAACAGGCATGGTAGTAAAAATATAATATGGCCAATCACTACAGGATTTTTGGTGTGTTTTTAAAAAAGCTGTTGGAAGGCCTAAAATAGGCCTGGTAACCCAGAGGTGTTCTTTACCATTCTGTGGGGGAAAATTTGGGGGGATGTCAAGGAACTGGAGTTTGTTCTAGGTGTTGCATTAGGGACCAGGGGATAGTACATTATCTTTGGTCCACACTTTAGTCATCTCTGTGCTGGAGTCCAGAGTAATATCATGCATATTCTGCATTTCCAAGGTGGGGAGATCATGTCTTTAATCGAAAGCAACCCTTGATTGTATTGGCTACCTGAAAATTACAGAAGCTCTTACACCTCACCAAGTATAGATAAATGGTAATGAAAAAATTGACATCAGGAGGAACTTGTGAGAACAAATGATAAGGAAAAAAAACTGGCATAACAATATAAGAACCATACTCATTTCACCCCACTTGTTCTTTACGGCTATTGCTAGATGTACCATAGCAAAGAATGAAGGGGGAAATGTCATAAATTGTCCAGAGTTCTGTCATGATACAATCAATTAATGGAAATCGACATCAATTATTATAAGTGTGAGAATGAGTGTCTGAATTGGAAAAATAACATCCTACAGTGATCCAGAATAACTTTCTGGCCAATGTAAGTGTTTGGGCTAAAGAAGACCTGAAGACCAGAAGAATACATGACAAAATGGAGGAAGCCACAATACATGGTGGTATGAAGGTTCTGGCAACCAAAAGCGAGGAACATCTGAATAAGGAACTGAACTTTAGAAACTTGATAAATGGAGAATATCAAGGATTGGTACAGTCAAAGGAGTATACCACTTGAGAGGCTCCCTTGTCATGATGGATTGAGCATGAACTGAGCTGGAGGACAATAAGGGGGACATGAGAGATTGTCCCTTCAACATGACGGATTAAGCGTGGACTAAGCTAAGGAATAACAAAGGTTACCTCCCCGACACAGTGCAGCAAAGTGTACCAGAACTAAGACATGAAAGGAATTCTGAGATTACATAAAAAGGAACATTATATTTATTACCATGAAACAAAGAAGCCATAGACTAGAATTGCTCCAAAATGATAATAGTCTAGCTTGCTGTTGAACTATGCAGCCCGAAAGACAGTTGCATCTGTCAAGCAGGAAATTTAGGTACTGCTTTATGTGGGCAGGCTATTTTAACTAATTTACGACACTATAAGATCTTCCAGCAGTGTGCGTAAGAATGAGGAAGCACTCCATCAAGGACTAGGTATCATAAGTGGACAGTGAAGCAGAAGCTCCCCCTGTGGACTCATCTCTGTTTCTAAGCCAAAGTGCTGGCATTGTCTGTAGACACCTCCAAGGCCATGTGGCCAGCATGACTACATAGGGTGCCATTACCTTCCCAGAGAAGCTGTACCTATTGATCCATTCACATTTCCATGTTTTCGAACTGTAAGGTTGGTAGAAGCTGAGTCTAACAGTGGGAGGTCACCCCGTTCCTTGGATTTGAACCGCCGACCTTTCGGTCAGCAAGTTCAGCAGCTCAGTGGTTTAACCCGCTGCACCACCAGGGAGCCCAAAAAAACTTAAGACCAAATGTAATTTAGATAGCATCTTCTTTATAGTTTCTCAAATTGTTATTCTCCTTCTCAGTTATGAGATTATTTTATCAATTGTTTAACCAAGCATTCTACTACCCTATGGCCCAAACCCCATAGTCTTTACTAAAGCAGACTCATAGAATCAATATGTTTTATCTATGTGTTCACTTGCCTTTCAACGGATGACTGGATGGGTTTATTTTAATTGCAAGTAATCAAGAGGACATCAGCCTATGACAATTAAGTGCAGTGAGCACTATCCAAAAAGCTATGAAATGCAGAGTAGAACAAAAACTGTTAATTCTGCCCCATTTTAAAAGTATACAATGAACACAAACCTCTTTCATCTTGTCAAATTCATTCTGTAGAGCCTGCTTAGCAATATCTACTTCAATTAACTGCTGTCTTAATTTTTCATTTTCATCTTCGGTGGTTGTTCGTTTTTCTTCCACGTTTTCCAGTTCATGGTGAAGTCTAACTGAAACGTCTTTTGCAACCTAAACAGGACAGCATTTGAAAACAAAAGAAAACCCTTAATGACATTAAGACTATATGTGAACTGGTATAAATATTCCAAAGCTAGAGATGGTATCGACTGTTCATGGTTTGAATCCAATACCATTAAAGGTTGACTGTGTAGTTGTCTCGCTGAAGTTAGCGTATTTATTTTGATTCTAGGACGCACTTTTATCCCAATAGAAACATCTTTAAAAATGGGATGCATCTTAGAAAAACGCAAAGGGTTTTTCCCATGCTTTGCAGATAGTACCACATGTTTTGTTTTTTATGTGGAAACCCCACCTCCAAGTTTGACTGTTATTGCTCCACCCCATTCTTGCTATGCCACTGTTAAATAAAATGGTTAAATAAAGTGGAATTTTGCAAATCTGGAGTCATTGTTATTAAATTATTGCGGAGCTCACTCAGTGACAATGAGGAAGCGTTGCTTGTTTGCTTGAGATGATCTATGGAAAAGTTGAGTTACTGTAAGTAAAGGTAAAGGTTTTGCCCTGACATTGATCTAGTTGTGTCCCACTCTGGGGGTGGCGCTTATCTCCATTTCTGAGACGAAGAGCTGGTGTTGTCTGTAGACACCTCCAAGGTCATGTGGCCAGCATGACTGCACAGCGCACTATCACCTTCCTTCAGAAGTGGTACCTATTGATCTACTTACATTTGCATGATTGCGAACTGCTAGGTTGGCAGAAGCTGGGGCTAACAGCGGGAACTCACCTCACTCCCCAGATTTGAATTGCTGACCTTTCGGTCAGCAAGTTCAGCAGCTCAGCAGTTTAACCTGCTGCACCACTGGGGAGCCTTTGAGTTACTGCATTTCGTTCATTTTGATCAAAATCTTGTCAAGAAGACTGCACTATAAAGCCAGGGTAAAACGAACAGTTATTGTGTATGCAGACAAACAGAAATAAAGCAGCAAGACATTTCTAAGTCATTCTAAAAGATATTTGAAGACATTGATTTTTTCTTATAAACAAAGCTTTATTTCTGTTTGTGGTAGTAATTGAATGAGTGTGCATTTCACAATTGGTGGGGTCTTAGACTAAAAGAAATACGGTAACCTCTAGGCAATGAATGACTCACACACTTTTATATGAAATTTAATTTTTTTACAAAGGCAATAAAGACAAGATACAGGCTATGAAAGAACATGGCAGCAACAGTGCAGCATCTCTCCTGACGCACATATAAACGATGCAGATCGAATTTGAAGAAACGAAAACAAACAGGCTGGGTGGAATACTGCGCCATATCAGAACCTAGAACAGGCATGGACAAACTTTGGCCCTCCAGGTGTTTTGGACTTCAGCTCCTACAATTCCTAATAGTCAGTAGGCTGTTAGGAATTATGGGAGTTGAAGTCCAAAACATCTGGAGGGCCAAAGTTTGCCCATGCCTGACCTAGAATGTTACCTCCTACATTATGACTAGTTGACCAGATAAATATTCTTCTTCCATACTAAGTATTCATTGGTATGGTAACTGATCCTTCATATTCTAAGACTAAAACAACAACAGAAACCCTGGAAGGTGATCCCAAAAAGTAGAACTTTCTTGCGTTCTGGTTATCACTGCACACACAAATGAATCCCAGAGAGTCTCTGGTATCTGTATACTATCAAATTAGGAATGGGAAAATGCTGAGCATTTTCGAGGATTAAGTTTCAAGGATTAAGATCTACAAAATCAAACTCACACTAGAAATAATGGGGCTGTTCTAACATCTGGCTGCTTCTTTGTTACATTGAAAAACCAACATCATTTCACACTATACAGCTATAGCACTTGGTGTGAAAGACCATGTGGATCCAGAGTTGGTCTTCATAGATACTTACAAACCCATCGCCAAGACTATCATAGAATCATTGAGTTGGAAGAGACCTTGTGGGCCAACCAGTTCAACTCCCTGGCAAGAAGCAGGAAAATTGCCTTCAAAGCACCCCCGACAGATGGCCATGCATTTTCTGTTTAGAAGCTTCCAAAAAAGGAGCTTCCCCCACCCTCCTGGGCAGGGGGTTCCACTGCTGAACAGCTCTCACAGTTAGGAAGTTCTTCCTAATGTTCAGATGTAATCTCCTTTCCTGTAGTTTGAAACCATTGTTCTGCATCCTAGTCTCCAGGGCAGCAGAAAACAAGCTTGCTCCCTCCTCCCTATGAGTTCTCCCCACATTATCCTTGGAAGATAATCATACTTGGCCATGAGTGGAATCCAAGTGCTAAAACAGTATAGTGTGAAAAGATCCTAGGTTATACTGCTTTCATGACAGATCTTCTTACGATCATGCCTGAGCTGCTTTATGAATCCCTGAGCCTGCCTTACCTTCAAGTCCTGCTCCAAACTACGGAGAAGTTCTCCATCAATCTCCCCAGTTTGAGCATAGCGAAGCCGCTTGCGTTCTGCCTTTCGAAGACGGTACTGAAGAATCCGGCAATTTTTGTTGGCCCTCTCCAACTCGCGCCGCATTTCCTGTAACTGGCAGGCGTCCTCCTCGAAGAAACTGTCTCTCATCTCATCCATCTCATTTCTCAGCTCATCTATTTCATTCTGGCATCCAAGCATAAGGAAAGGACAGAAACACACCACATTAGTCCACAAACAAAAAGGAAGTATGGATTAAGACAAGCTATGGATGCCTTTCAGACAGATGTACAAATGATAGGCTTAAACTTCCACACCAAATAGGCCGAGTCTTGACTTAAGAACATACTTGGAAGCAGTCCAAGTAAAACAGTTAGGCTTCTCTTGCATGACTTAAATCACATTCATTTCAATGTGTTTAAGTAAGACACAAGTAGGACAACTGTGTGTCCTAGTGACTATTTCTCATGTATTTAATTTTCCATGAAAAAATTACAGGCAGGCCATAATTATCTAGCGTTGGCAGGAAGGGGAAACATTTTCCCCACCACCTGCACATAATATAACTTGCCAAGTACACACTAGGTCAGGCCTTGGCAAACTTTATTGTTTATTATTTGCGTTTTCGGTTTTGTTTTATTTCATGTAATTGTTGTTTTGGGCTTGGCCTCATGTAAGCCGCACCGAGTCCCCATCGGGGAGATGGAGCGGGATACAAATAAAGTGTATTATTATTATTAGGTCCTCCAGGTGTTTTGGACTTCAACTCCCACCATTCCTCACAGCCTCAGGCCCCTTCCTTTTCCCCCTCAGCCGCTTAAGTTTGCCAATACCGCCACTAGGCTGTTCCCTTTTCATCACTATAAAGTCACAAGTAGTCAGTGGCATTGGTAGTTCTTGTGTAACTCACTGGTTTTATAAAGTGGAGGAGAGCATATCTGCAAAGGTAAGCAGCCTGTCAAGGGGAATGCTCAACACAGTCATTACACTTCACAAATCATAGTAATGACTACACTGACCAACACACATTTAGTGTCTTGGTAGATCAAGATAGACCTAGTTCTGGGTAGATCTGACCTGCTAATTTCAAAAATGGCAGCAGGGTCAGCTCTAGTTTTTGAGATACAGAACACATTGCCATCTGCTCGTCCATAGAAAATTATGATAATCGTATCTAAGAAACTAAAGCTGGTGTGGTCTATCTTTTGCAATTGTATGAATCAGCACTCCATATAATCCCAATAAACATTTAAATTAAAATTGAGATCAAAATTGAAATACTTTAAACATTTTAAAAACATTACATTCACTATAAAACCACACTATCCGCAATCATAGCACGACTGGTGGGGACAACTGGTGGGGGGGGACAAGAGACAGAGCCTTCTCAGTAGTGGCCCCTCGTCTGTGGAACTCCCTCCCCAGTGGAATTAGATTTGACCCATCCCTCCTTCAGGAAAAAATGGAAAACATGGTTTTGGGATCAGGCTCTCAACCAGACACGGGAGTTGTGAAATATGAGACTACAAATTAATATAAGATGACTCGGACCTGTCCTGGAATACAATTTGGATCATGTGACTTTAATTGATGTTTTAATGCTGTGTTTTTAATGGGTTTGGTTTTAATGTTTTTATTATTTACCAATGTATGAATGTATGGCATTGAATTATTGCCTTTGTAAGGCCACCCTGATTCCCCTTTGGGGTTGAGAAGGGCGGGATATAAATGAGGTAAACAAATAAATGAATTGTCCAGGTCATTCCGGTAGTTACTGCACATAATTCCAGTCCATCTATTGCACTATAGCAGTAATTCTCAACCTTCCTAATGCCGCGACCCCTTAATGTTGTGGAGACCCCCAAGCATAGCATTATTTGTGTTGCTACTTCACAACTGTAATTTTGCTACTGTTATGAATTGTAATGTAAATATCTGATATGAAAAATGTATTTTCATTCACTGGACCAAATTTGGCCAACACCCGATACGCCCAAATTTGAATACTAGTGGGGTTGGGGGAGGGATTATGTTGTAGTTGCTGGGATTTACAGTTAATCTACAATCAAAGAGCATTCTGAACTCCACCAAGGATTGGATTGAGCCAATCTTGGGACACAGAACTCCCAAGGCCAACAGAAAATACTGGAAGGGTTTGGTGGGCATTGACCTTGAGTGTTGGAGTTGGAGTTCACCTACATCCAGAGAGCACCGTGGACTCAAACAATGACAGATCTGGACCAAACTTGGCCTGAATCCTCAATATGCCCATATGTGAACACTGGTGGAGTTTGGGGAAAGTAGACCAGGGGTCTCAAACTTTTTAAACTAAGGGCCAGGTCACAATCCCTCAAACTGTTGGAGGACCGGATTATAATTTGAAAAAAGCATAAATGAATTCCTATGCACACTGCACATATATATTTTTGTAGTGTATTGTTGTAGTGCAAAAACAATACAATAATTAAAATGAAGAACAATTTTAACAAATATAAACTTATTAGTATTTCAATGGGAAGTGTGGGCCCGCTTTTGGCTGATGAGATAGGATTGTTGTTGTTGTTGTTATGTGCTTTCAAGTCGTTACAGACTTGTTGACCCTGAGCAAGGGCCAGGTAAATGATCTTGGAGGGCCATATCTGGCCCTTGGGCCTTAGTTTGAAGACCCCTGAAATAGACCTTGACATTTGAGAGTTGTAGTTACTGGGATTTATAGTTCACCTACAATCAAAGAATATTCTGACCACCACCAACAATAGAACTGGGCCAAACTTCCCACACAGAACCCCCATGACTAGCAGAAAATACTGTATTTTCTGATGGTCTTCGGCAACCCCTCTGATACCTCCTTGCAAACCCCCCAGGAGTCCCAACCCCCAGGTTGAGAAACACTGCACTATAATTCTTCTCTGAAGGCTTGATCCTAAAGCCATGTTTTCACTCTCTTTCTGAGTCCAGGGATACAGAGGGCCAACTGTGTCCTTCTTAACAGCTTAAAATGCATGTAAAATATGACAGCCCCTTACGCTTCCACCTCATAGGAGCAGTGCATGATTTTTAGATGGAGTGGCTTTTGGGATAGGTGAACTAAGGAGAGACCACTGGCCATATCTGAAATGAAGGCCCTGTTGAAGCATCCCCTTTAGAAAGCTATGAGAGATTTACTATTCAGAAGCAAGGATACTTCTGCACCAGCCATCCTCTGGAGCGCTCTGTGTTGTCCATATTTTGATCTAAAGGGAAGAGGCATAGAGTGCATCTGCACTATAGAAGAGGCATGGCAAACTTGGGCCCTCCAGGTGTTTTGGACTTCAACCCCCACAATTCCTAACAACCCTAACCCTAACTGGGAGGCTGTTAGGAATTGTGGGAGTTGAAGTCCAAAACACCTGGAGGGCCCAAGTTTGCCCTTGCCTGCTATCAAATGAAGTCTTGACCCCACTTTGAGTGCCATGGCTCAGTGCCAAGGAATAATCATAGAATCATAGAGTTGGAAGAGACCTCATGGGCCATCCAGTCCAACCCCATTCTGCCAAGAAGCAGGAAAATTGCATTCAAAGCACCCCCGACAGATGGCCATCCAGCTTCAGTTTAAAAGCTTCCAAAGAAGGCGCCTCTACCACACTCTGGGGCAGAGAGTTCCACTGCTGAACAGCTCTCAGTTAGGAAGGTCTTGCTAGTGTTCAGATAGAATCTCCTTTCTTGTAGTTTGAAGCCATTGCTTCACATCCAAGTCTCCAGGACAGCAGAAAACAAGCTTGCTCCCTCCTCCCTATGACTTCCTCTCACATATTTATACATGGCCTTCATATCTCCTCTCAGCCTTCTCTTCTTCAGGCTAAACACGTCCAGCTCTTTAAGCCACTCCTCATAGGCCTTGTTCTCCAGACCCCTGATCATGTTAGTCGCCCTCCTCTGGACAGGGGAGCTCAGATTGAGGCCCAAAAGGGCCCACAACAGAGGAGCGCTTCTGCTCCTACATCCCTTCCAGCCCTGCCCAGGCTTTTTGCCCCTCCCGAACCCCTCCCTTTCCTCTTCAATAAGGGAATGGAGGCCTGTGGTCCCCATCTCACCTTGAGGGTCTCGTTTTCCTCCCGCAGGCCCTCCACCTCCTCCTGCAGCTCCACCTGCTCCCGGGGGCTGAGGCTGGAGGCGCCTTCGGGGGCCCCGCTCCGTCCTTCGCCTCCCTCCTCCTCCTCCTCTTCCTCTTCCTCGGGCCCCGCCGGCGCCATTAGCGAAGGAGAGGCGGTGGTGGTGGCGACGTTGGGCTCGGTCTGCCCGGCCTCGCCCTCCTCTGCCGGGCCGCTGCCTTCCCGCTGCATCTGGGCCAGAGACCAAGGGGCTCCCGGGGACGCCACCCGCCGCCGCTTTGGCCTCCCAGAGAGGCAGGCTCTGCCGGAGGAGATGCTGCGCCTGGTGCTGATGCTGCGGATGCCCGCTTCGCCGCTCCTCCCGATTGCAGGGCCTCTTCCTTCCCGCACGGAAGGGAACGGGAGGAGGGCCGCGCTCGGCCACCTGCTCTCCTGGGCGGGGCCGGAGCCTCCTCTCTCCTCCTCCTCCTCTTCCCCTCCCTCCTCCTCTTCCTCTCCTTCTTCCTCGCCGGCTCCTGCGCTGCTGTGTGTGTGGGAGGCGGCGCTGCGTTGTCCACCGCTCGTCCCCTCCCACTTTCTCCGCCTCTTCTTCCTCTATCCCTCCTTCTCTTCCCCCTCTTCCTCGATCCATCCTAGTCCTCCTCTTCCTTCTCTTCTTCCTTTTTCTTTTTTCCCTCCTCTTTCTCTCCTCCTATTCCTCTTTCTCTTCTTCCTCTTCCTCTATCCCTCCTCCTCTTCCTTCTCATTCTTCTCTTCCCCCTCTTCATCTATTCCTCCTTGTCCTCTTTCTTCTCTTCTACCTCTTTTTCTCCTCCTTTTTCTCCTCCTATTCCTCTATCCCTCATTCTCTTCCCCCTCTTCCTCTACCCCTCTTCCTCCTCTTCCCTCTTGTCCTCCTCTTCTTCCTCCTCCTCTTCTTCCTCTTTTCCTCCTCTTCTTTCTCTCCTCCTATTACTCTTTCTCTCCTTCTCTTCTTCTTCTTCCCACTCTTCCTCCTTGTCCTCCTCTTCCTCCTCCTCTTTCTCTTCCTCCTCTTTTTCCTCCTCCTCTTTCTCTCCTCCTGTTCCTCTGTCTCTCCTTCACTTTTTCTTCCACTTCATCTATTCCTCCTCCTCTTCCTCCTCCTCCTCTTGTTATTTTTTTTCCTCCTCCTCAGAGGCTCCAGGCACTGCCAAGTCAGGTCAGGCATCCAACCGCTTTCCCCCTCCCATGCCTTCCTTCCTTCCTCCTCCTCAGCCCTGTTAGTTCAGTAAAGCTTCTGGAAGCTGTGTAGCTGCATTTGAGCACAGGGGTTAAGAGCCCAGAAGAATGGGGAGGTTCACCCACCACAGATGTAGATGCAGAAGCTCCTGGGGTCTATTTCCCTCTAGATTAGACCTGGGCAAGCTTGGGCCTCCAGGCGTTTTGGACTTCAACTCCCTTCATTCCTGACAGCGTCAGGCCCTTTCCTCAAGGAAGGCTGGCTGAGCATCCCTTCTCTTAAATTCGAAACTGCTCCCAAATCCAAAATTGTCCACCTGTGTGGCTTAGTTTGTGATGCCTTTCCTTTCCAATGAATAGGTGAACATAGACTTTCATGCAAATTAATATTACAAATGTATACCCAATTCCTTTAGGTTAAGGTGTTCATGAAGCATAAATTAATTACTTTGTTTTAATGTTTAAATGTTGTTTACATCTTATGTTTGAATCCATTGAATGATTTTAATGTATAGTTATATGTTAAGGTAAAGGTAAAAGTAAAGGTAAAGGTTTCTCCTCGACATTAAGTCTTAGTCATGTCTGACACTGGGGGGTGATGCTCATCTCCTTTTCTAAACTGAAGAGCCGGTGTTGTACGTAGGTGCTTCCAAGGTCATGTGGATGGCATGACTGCATGGAGCGCTGCTACCTTCCTGCCGGAATGGTACCTAGTGGATTAAACAATTGAGCTGCTGAATTTGCTGACCAAAAGGTTGGTGGTTCAAATCTGGGGAGCAGGGTGAGCTCCTGCTGTTAGCATCAGTCCCAGCTCCTGCCAACCTAGCAGTTTGAAAACATGCAAATGTGAGTAGATCAATAGGTACCATTGATATAGTTGAAAGTCATAACAACTATATTTAAATATGCAAAGTAAAAATAATGCAATATGAAAATCAAAGAGAATTTCAGAACTGCCACCAACAAACTCAAATTGGGATCCTAAATCCCCAAGACCATTTCATATAACTTGCTCATTCTTTCCTACACCAAAAGCAAAACTCCAACCACAAGGCCATTGGCATTTCAGTCGCTTATGAATACAAAAGGCCTGTTTTGATCAGTTTCCTTTTGGACTCCAGCACATAATCTTTCAATTTATTCTTCTTCTATCTCTATAGATCAGTGGTTCCCAACCCTTTTTTGACCAAGGACCACTTTGACCAGGGACTTTAGTACCAAAGGGGTTATGAATCAGTTTTTGGTCAACTTTAGATTCGGTTTGGGGTGCTGATTCAGAAAATTGCATTGGATAGACCACATCAGCACTAGTTGATGATATAGAACATATGCCACAGTCAGAGACAGGGAAGGAGTGGCATGCGGTGTGAAAGGAACATAAGTTTTTAAAATAAATAAATAAAGAGGAAGGAAGCTCGCGGACCAGATTTTCATCCTCATGGCCCACTGGTGGTCCGCGGCCCACAGGTTAAGAACCACTGCTATAGATAGAGCATAAACTCGGATTATGACTATATTGATAGGTTTTCTCTACAGTGTTATTAACATAATTTGATCAAGTTTTCATAATTTGATCAAGCTTTTACTGCTTTTGCTACATCTGTCCTCACTATTAGTGCCAGATAATTTCTTCTTAGATTTTCATTTCCTCTGTAAAACATCACAAAATTTTCTGACTCAAAAATGTTCTCTTTAGTTCACTCACTCTAAGTATTACTGTGTTTATGCATCCTATTTCTTGTTTATCATGCCTCCTTCTGCACAGAACTAATAAGCAATAGCTATGGGTCCACTGCCATTGTTTCTGAAAAATGCTCTTCCATTTTTATTTATTTATTTCAAGCATTTATATCTCGTCCTTCTCACCCCCGAAGAGGGACTCAGGGCGGCTTACAACAGGCAACCATTAGATGCCAAACAACACATTAAAATACACAATTACAGTTAAAACAGCAGTTAAAAACAACAGTAAGCATTCAATTTAAAACTGTCTGCCGGTTCAAAACCATAGTCCAAGACAGTCTACTGTGGTCACTTAAAACATTCTCTTCCTAGTTGCTACAGCTACTGCTCAAATGCTTGATCCCACAGCCAGGTGTTCAGTTTTTACAAAAAGCCAGGAGGGAGGGGAGTTCCATAGCCGAGGAGCCACCACGGAGAAGGCCCTGTCTACCATTACCACTGTTGCAGGGGCCACTGTGGAGCAGTGGATTAAATTGCTAAGATGCAGAACTTGCTGACTGGAAGGTCAGCAGTTTGAATCCGTAGGATGGGGTGAGCTCCTGTTGCTAGCACCAGCTTCTGCCAACCTAGCAGTTTGAAAACATGCAAATGTGATTAGATCAATAGGTACTGCTTCAGCGGGAAGGTAACGGCACTCCATGCAGTTATACCGGCCACATGACCTTGGAGGCATCTACAGACAATGCTGGCTCTTCAGCTTAGAAATGGAGATGAGCATTACCCCCCAGAGTCGGACTCGATTGAACTTAATGTCAAGAGGAAACCTTTAACTTTTTTACCAGTAGTTGTTTGACATATTCAGACTGAGCCTGTCTGACATGGGAGACCCTACCAGCACCATTCCTACCACCCACACAGCTTTTTGTGTCACATAAGCATGCCATCTCACCACTACAGAAAGGTACTCTTATGGTACCATAAATTCATTGGACTATATCTAGGGGTGTGTGTGTGGGGGGGGGGGGACTCACTAAAACATCTTTGTCATGTAGTGATTCATTAAATAGATTTTCATATTTTTAATATGAATCCAACTGATTCTAAGAAAGAGTGATCTCCATATGTCAAGATGAAAATGTTTTTTATTCTCAATGATTGGTGAAGAAAAGTGTACTTGAATTACTTCTAGGAACCAGTCATTAAGACAGATATTAGAAAGAGAGTGAGCCAATAGGGAAAAGATAACTCTGTGAATCAAGTCTGTTCCAGGAATATGAAGACATCAAATCCTTGGAGATGCAAGCTGAACAGATTATTGTTTGTGTAAGGATTTCTACACTGCTGAATCAACTAATACTTTATCACAGATGAGCATTTATTATTGGGTTTTTTACCTTCACATATTACTTTGGAAACCCAGAGATTTGTACTTCTTACAAGGGAAAAATATTAATTGCTTTGGCAAAGGTAACGCAGCTGGGCAAATCATTGATGGTCAGTTGGTTGCTCCAGCAAAAAGGAGGGAACTAACTGAGCTCAACTGAGACTGATGACCTTGTCTTATGGAGGGACAATAGGTGAAACCGTGGGGTGGTGTACCACTTCATCCCCTTACCGTGGTTCGTCATGAGATCCCTTCCCACAACATTTCTCCACTGCCTCCTACATCTTCTCCAGCTTCTGCTATGAGGAGTCAGACGTATACCCAAATCTCTGCGCTGCCAGTCCCTGCATCATATGATGGGCTCTGGGGGACTCTGTGCCGCCAGTACAGGGAAGCACTGTTTTGACTTCATGTGATGAGGTCATGATTTGTAAACAAATATGTAAGCAAATATGTAAAAACCTTGCCCTTAGGTTGTTTTTGAGATGGGTAAAATAAATCTCTCTCTCTCTCTCTCTCTCTTTGTGTGTGTGTATTTGCATAGGCACCTATAGTAAAGCAAGGGAGGATGTCTAAATATCCTTGCTTTGAGAAATAAGACAAATCTCAAGTCCTTGTTCAAGTTGAGATATGAGGTAAAATTAGGAACCACTATTCTTCCTATTTGTTTTATAAGCACCTGACCTAGTTTTGTAGTATTTCTGTGTTTTTGGCAAATGGATCAAGTTATATCAGTGACTGATACATTTATTTATTTTATTTATTTATGGCATTTGTAGCCCGCCTTCCTCAGCCATATGGCGACTCAAGGCAGAATTTATGAATATATGGCAGAATTTGATGCCATATATAAAAATACAGTTAAAAACATTCAACCTAATATTATAAAAACATATAAAACCACTAAAAACATATAATTACCAGTGTCGTCCTGTTAAAATTATTATCCAGCAGCATCGTCTAGCCATTCCGTGTTCATGCTTTCTATTCATAATTATTTATTCTGCTGAATTTCCAAATGCTTGTTCAAAAAGCCAAGTTTTTACTTTTTTCCTGAAGATCAGGAGGGAGGGGGGTGATCTAATATCCCTAGGGAGGGAGCTCCACAGCTGAGGCGCCACAACTGAGAAGGCCCTGTCTCTCATCCCGCCACTTGCGCTTGCAAGGAAGGCGGGATCGAGAGCAAGGGCTCCCCAGATGATCTTAAGTTCCTAGATGGTTCATAAGATGGTTCATTCTTTCTCAGGAGAAGGAATTTTTACTGTTTTGATATTTCCAGGA